TGTTGCAGAATTTCGAGCCTGTAAAGGTGAACGGCCTCCCATCTGCCTCTACCTCTCCATCTCAGCAAATTGATGGAAGGCCCGAGGAGACAGCTGGGACTGGGGTACATTCACGGGCTTCCCACCTGTGCTGCAATCATGAAAATGTCAGAGGCTCCCAGTGAGCATCAGGCTATATCTTCCCATGGCAAGCAGCCTGACGGCCCTCCACAGCTAATGGCAGCAGGAGGCTGTACCTCCTGAGGCCGTACATGGTACACAAGGCTGACAATGGCGGAGACGGGCGTGAAATGCTCCATGTCATTTGGCCTTGCCAAGTTCCTCCTACACTCATTTCTCCCATACCCGCCACCTCCGGCACCTTCTTCCTTCTCTCAGGATCTTGCTGTCATTTCCAGGATTCTGAGTAACAACACTGGTTGTTTTTTTTTAAATATGGATTAAAAATGATCGCAGTACCTAAAGGGTCACCGTCTAATACGGGAGCCACGAGCCACACGTGACAATTTACAGTTCAATTAATTTAAATTAAATCAAGCAAGAAACCTATGCACAGAACCAGTGTTTCATGGCCCCATGCGGGTGAGGGTTTGAGGACACTGGACCATGCCGCTATAGAAGGTGTCCGGGACTGCGGAGAGTTCTAGCGAGTTGCTCTGGTCTAAAGGACAGAAAGAGCAGATCTCACTTTCTTCTGTCCCCAGTCCCCCTCCCTGCGGTGAGCCTGCTGCCAGCCTGCTCTGTATCCTCGCAAGAGGTTTGATGTATATGGATGCAAACCTCTGTTATTAAAACCAATGACAAAAGACCCTAAGCACTATTTTGTGGCACGCTTTCTTCACCTCAGGACACTTGTAAGTGTCACCATGTAAGCGTACACGTACTGCTTCATTCTTTCGGTGGCCCCGTGGCAGTATATGGTAGCCAGGATGACTATCATCACCTCACCTTTCTAGCCACACTCTTCAGTGTCCCCTTGCTCCCTTCCCTCCCCGGAACACTTTCATCCTCTCCCAGTTACCACATCCTCGGGCTCTTTTCCAACTCTTGCCCTCACCTCTCTGCCTAATCAAAACCTGGCTGCTCCCCAGGGAAGCCGCTTTCCCTACCTCTGAAGCAGAGGCAGAGTGCTGTCTCTCATCCACAATCACAAAGCCTCCCTTCCTCGTGCTAAATTCCAAACCAATCCTCTAGTTTCTTCCCCCGACATTTGTAGTCACCATCAGAATGGCTGACACCTCGCTGTCAGCCCCCACCTCCTGCCCCGCTCCTTTAGTGACCTACGACAGCAGTACCTGCTTCAGTGTTGTTCTCCTCCCCTAATTCTGCAAGCACTCCCCCCGTCCCAGATGGGGCATCCAGACACACGTCCCTGACCTTTGGTTCACACCCTACCCCAGCCACCCACTCCCAGCCTGAATCCACCCCCATACGAGAATCACCCATGAAATGCTGGATTTCAGCATCTCTCTCCCAGATTACTGCCCCGCGCCCGTTGCCGGCTACCTAAGGAAGCAAGACTTCTCATCCCCAAGGACCGTTTGTTACCTTCCCGTGGCCATCAGGCTAAGTGAAAGGAGCCAGTCGCAGAAGAATACTCTAGGAGTCTACTTATTTGAGGTACCTAGAGGAATCAGTTCAGAGAAACAAAGTAGAACTGTGGTGCAAAGGGCTGCGGGAGAGGGACAAGGGTAGCTGTTTACTAAGTATAAAGCTTCAGTTTTGCATGATGAAGTCCTGGGGACTCTGTTCACAGCCATATATCAATATATTTAATACTACGGGGCCACACACTTACACATTTAAGATAGTAAATTCAATGCTATGTATTTTTTACCACAGTAAAAGAAAAAAAAATGCAAAACAAAACTCCTGAGGCTACATTCTGTAGCTGGATATCTTAACAATGAGGTGTGCTCCGTGGTGGTGCTAACAGCATCCTGTCCTCCTCTGGGCATCAAACCCCCACCCCATGCAGTCAGCACATACAGTGTCCAGAGGCAAGGCTGATGAAGCTTCCTCTCCTCCTCGCACTGGCAATTCCAGACCCCAGATTCTTTCTGAAGCTTAGAGTCAAAGTAGGACAAATTAGAGGAACTAACTAAGAACCAGTTGGGTATTTCCCCCTTTATTATTCTCCAGCCACCAACTGAAAACCAATGGTTTTTCTAGCTATGCCTCTCATAATTCATTCATGCTCATTAATATGCAAACACCAGTTTCTCAGCTGGCAAGGATTCCATGAATTTTTAATTTACATGGGATGAGGCAGAGATTAAAACTTTAAACTAAAGCCAACAATACAAAGGACTGCGGAGTGTCATTTTAATCCCTACATTTAGATTCTCCAAATGAATTCACTGGCATCATCATGTGAACCATCATCTGAGAATTACTGGAGCAACTCCTCTCTGAGTTTTTGCCTTTTGGTCATCAATATATATATTTCTTTTTTTTTTTTTTTTTTTATGATACCTGTTTTGGGATCGCTAAAAACAGTGAAACCAAAGACATTTCTTGTCATCAATCTTTTAATCTTAAAAAACTCCAGGCCACCTGGCAAACGTTCAAAGAGATCCCAACTCTATAGAAAATCCACAACAATTTGTAGATTTGTGACTAATATGTGAGAAACTCATTTCAGCACAAAGGAAATCAGATTTTTAAAAGCACATTAGAAGAGAGAAATTGAGAAACACGGAACTCAATTCCTTCTGGAACTGCAAATCACATTCTGGATTAGTAATTCTAAAATAAGAAAAGACAGAGGGAAGATCTTTCTCTTTTGAGGGCAAGGCCCAAAAGAATTATAATACAAGCCACATATGTAATTTTAAATTTCTAAAAGCCAGGGCACCTGGGTGGCTCAGTGGGTTAAAGCCTCTGCCTTCGGCTCAGGTCATGATCCCAGGGTTCTCGGATCAAGCCCCGCAACAAGCTCTCTGCTCAGCAGGGAGGCTGCTTCCTCCTCTCTCTGCCTACTTGTGATCTCTGTCTGTCAAATAAATAAACAAAAGTCTTTAATAATAAAAAAAAAAAATTCTAAAAGCCACATTAGAGAAAGGAAAGAGACTAAAATTAACTATAATAGTTTAATCCAATATATCCAAAATATTTCTTTAAGGTTTTATTTTTAAGCAATCTCTATACCCAACATGAGGCTTGGACTCACAAGTCTGAGATCCAGAGTCGTGTACTATACCAACTGAGCCAGCCAGGCACCTCATATCCAAAATATTCTTTTGTCAATGTGTAATCAATATCTTTAAAATTTTTAATAAAATGTGTACAGTCCTTTTTTTTTTTTTTTAAGTCTTTGGAATGTAGCATTTTACACTTAGTACACCTCTTATTTCAGACCAGCTACCCATAAGTGCTGAAATGTCCCCAGCGACTCCCATACTGGACAGGACAGCTAGAGAACTGAAGAATCTATGTTCTTCTGACAGGAAAAGGACTACCTTTTGAAATGTGATCCTATCTCTGGGTGGTTCTCACTGTCTACCTCAAATAATTAGCCACCAACAACCTGGTTTTTTCTATTAGCTACTCTTTTAACTAGACTAGTATTAATTCAACATTCATCATTATATCATTTTAAATTTTACAAAATCAATTTACTAGAATGGTTTTAAGTTTTCAGCCATCAATTGACTCACTTTTTTAAACAAATTAACCTTACCCTAAACAATGGCATCTGTGATATCACAGATTTGATCCTTCATATTTGTTAAAAGAGCTAATGCGTATTAAAATAAATACCTAACACTTCAAAGAAGCTTCTGTGCTCTACCTAAAGCCAACAGTGAAATAAAATTTGTCCTCATTTGTGAGTCAGTTACAGCATTACCCTCCAGAAGCTTTCTGTTTGGCACATGCAACCCCAGATATATTACTATCTGAGTCCTCTAGCACCTAACATTTGTATCTCAACATTTATACATTTAAATATGACACGGCATTCCCATCAACACTACCTTCCATCTGGGCACCACCAGAAACACAGCAGGGGAGAATTACTCATTTGTATTCAACTGTCCAAAAGTCACAGAGGTGGGATCAAACACTTCCCTTAATGGCCAGTGGTGGCTCGATCTCAGGGGAGCCCCCTCAATAATTAATAATGATGGCAGCTAAGGTGTCCTGAAGTGCATACCAAACACTGCTATAAGTTATGTGTGCATATATTGTTCTAATATATATAACATATATGTACTGCATTTATATATTGAGCATATATATTATATATAATAACCCTAGCAAGGAGGTGTTGTTTTCCTGCTTTTCCAAATGAGGAAACAGAGCACAGAGCACTTAGCAGCTTCCTATAGTCACAGAGCTAGCAAGTAGTACAGCTAAGATTCAAAGCCAAGAAATCTGATTCTGGAACCTGTGCTATTATCAGCCTGGAGGTTACAAATGGAATAAAGAAGATGGAAGCTGGGAAAGACACATTTTATGGTCACAAACTCAAATTCCTCAAAGACAAGATCACCCACAGGATGTAGAGACTGGGACAAGCCATGTCCTCTAATAGAGAGAGGAATGGAAGACAAGCAGGGTACTTTACAATACCCTCAAGATGTCTTCCAGAAATTACAGTGGAAAACTCATCTTATTTAGAAAGAAAGAAAAAAAGCATGAGAACACAAGAGAACAAAGATTCCAGAAACACAAAAAGAACGAGGATGGAAGGATGGATGAATTAAAACATGGACAGATGGACAGAAGGATAGCCAGACAGATGAGCATACAAACATTCCCTCCCGACTCAAGAGCAGAGAACAGGGTGAATTATAAAAGGATACCCCATCTCTCCAACCATCCCAAAAGGGGTCTACCATATGGCTGGTACCACAGCAGGCACTCTCAAAGGCAATCTGGTTCCTCATTCTCATCCCTGGGTCCAAAGCTGCAAGGGGAGCTATGCTGACAGCCTAATGACATGGGCTTCCTTTGCAAGGGTTCTGCAGCCTGGAAGAAGAGAAAAATCCACTTACATGTACTCCCTGTGGGCAGAGTGTACAGCGGCAGCATTGCTGTAACGCCACAGGACAATCGCCGAGGACAGGACGTCGAGGATGGCATCAAACTAGGAGAAGGAGACACGGCATTAGTGTTTTCTGGAGTTAATAAGGCATGACCGTGAAGACACAAGACACAGACGCCTGGAATCTGAGCGAGTGACCTCAGAGCAAAGAGGCTTCACATCATTACGATGGAGGCTCTCATCATCCTCACGGTGGGTCCTGGGAATCTGCAGCCAAGGCCGCTGGACACGCCAGCCTGGTGGGAGGACCACGGCTCCTCCTCACTTCGCACTGCTCCCACAGACTGAGAAAGCACACTCCATGCTGCAGTGGACTTGGCTCCCTGGGCACTAGCTTCGAGCACCCTGGAGATACGGGGGAGTACGGACACCCTTCTAACACCTATATCCCAGCAGGCAAATCACCGCAGAACTTCCCCCTACATCACACTTAAAAGATTCTGGGTAAGGGTTCTTTTCTGTGTCTGGCTCTCAATGGGATGCTTCTACCTGAGGTTCAGGGCTGAGCGTGGGGCTCCGCAAGGGTTCTGGGACATCTGCTAACACTTCAAAATTGTATACAAAATTCAATGCTCTTGTTTGAATGAATGAGCAAATGTGTGAGGGACAGAGACAGAAGCAAGGGGAGGAAAGAGAGGTGTGTGGGGGTATGGGGGGGTGGTGTGCACGCACAAACACACACACCCATTTTTCTGGAGAGGTTGTCTGTACCTTTTTCAAAGGACTCTGAAAACAATCTACGACCTCCAAAACATTTAAATTCTCACAGCAAAGGGAAGAAGTGGATTTGGGAACAGGAACACATGCCCTCAGGCATAGGAAACCCCGAAGCTACAGAGGAGGATACTGGAGCTCCCCAGCTGAGTCACTGTACCACGTCACACTTTCAGTCTGGAAAACTACAAGCACTAGCACTCTCTGGAAGGAATGTGGGGAAACTTCACCCAAGTTTTCGACACGCCTAGCCCGTAAAACATCTGAGACCCAGTTTCTCCTACCAATTCCCATCAGGAAGCAGGTTCGGGAGTCAGGTTACCCCTCAAGGGGCTACAGACTGACTCGTCTAGTGCCAGCAGCCCCAGTCCCAACCCCCAACACCTCTGCCTGCACCAGCCAATGCTTCTTTACATCCAGTGTGCGCCCGCTTTCACACCTACAACCTTGAGGGAGAAAAACAGGCTAAGAATCTCTCAAACAATCTCTCAACCAGGTGTGGAAAATGAGGTCCCCCAATCTGTTCTGGAGACCTGTGGAGCATCATTGCTGTTACTTCCACAAAATTATGATTTTATTATGGAAGCTATTGCCATAAAAGATTTATCTGTCATGCTAAGCTCTCAGCTGCTAACCACCCTCTGAATGGTGAGCCCAGGGTGAGATTCATGGGCTCAGGAAAAAACGTGCAAAACTTCATAAAAGTACATTTCAGGTTACTTACTGCAAACCCAAAAGCAGAGGCGCTGTACCTCATAACGGAGACAGCTAAAAAGAAAGAAAATAGTATTCAGAATATTTTAAGACCTCATGGATATTTTTTCTCATTTCTGAGTATATTAGTACAGTTGATAGAGACTCTTAAACATCCCTGGGAAAGTTCCCAGAGAATTAAGTTAAAAATTAACTGTACTTGTAACACCTATGAACTAAAACAGGTAAAGAGTGAAATGAAAAGGTTGTGGACTCCACTGGCCACAGCATCCCTTCTCACCGTGTCCTCAAGCACCACAGGGCCAGTTTCAGAATGAAAATGCCAAAGCACTTACCAATCAAATGACTGCTAAGACTTAAAGAATTTGGCAACAGGGAACAGAAAGCTGGGAATCACATGAAACTATCAGAGCAAAAGTGAGACCATCCACACTGTTCCCGTCACAAGGTAATTACTGGGGGCTATCTACACGCACACACCATTGCTAACACAGTTGAGAGAAATCTCTCCCTATCAGAGCTTAAAATTCAGTGTAGGTAGGCCTCAAGGATATGGTTTAGAAAAAGCAATAGCAAATGACCTTAAACAAGAGATGTCTACAAATATAGATTGAACAGTTATAATTAAAACGTTTCCTCATATTCAAAAATCTACCTACCTTTTTTTGGGAAGTTAACTGAGCAGCGCATTTGCCTAATTCTATGATCTGTTCTGTGCCAAAGCAATGCCCAGCTTCAAAGACTGTTCTCAGTTTGAGTTAATAAAGGCAGATCTCCAAATAAAAGCCATATTATCCAGCATATTTCCACCCTCCAACAAAGAATGAAACCCTACCCAATGGGTTGGCAAAGCTTTGAAGCTGATTGTCCCAGGCACAGGTACGACCAATGGCTGACTCGTGGAATAAGTGAAGTGTGAATGTGAGGCATGGAGGTCAGTACCCATTTGGACACCCCACTCAGCTCACCCCATGTCCTTTCTCTGTGACCCATTCTCTGCCCTACCCATAACATCTCCAAATGGTCCCTGGACAGCTATGCTTTGCCTTGGCCCCTGCCCCCAGCCCTAACAGGGCCACATGACTCAATGTGAACCACGCATATTTATTTCATTTCTGTGAATAAGGAATTGAGACCAAGAGTCTAATCAGTCCATTAATGTTGTTAGAATTGAAACCTATGAACATGGAAGTGGAGTTGGCCATCATTTGCTATAAACACTGAGGAGCAGAGAGACAAGCACAGGGTAAATACAACTCTTGGGCAAGGGAAACAATGGCTTCTTAACATTTCCAAGCCCTTCCTGGGAGTCAGCTATATTCCTGTCCTCGGGTTGTGCAAGGCAAATGCAATTCATTAAATTCCTGCCCAACTTTGGTTCTTGCAAAAAGCTGTTCCAGTTATCCCTGCTGTTGCTCTTATAGGCAGGAGGAGGGAGAAGGGCAGAAGCTGCGATACAAGAGTGATGGGCTGTAGCTTTCATGGCAACACAACCGTGGTGGTGCAGAGGGGCACTGGATCCTCCCAGAGAACTCAGAGGCCATGCTGACATGGCCAAAAAGGCAGGAGGTCCTCCGAGGAGTTACCCTGAGCACCAAGATAAACTAGAGGACACTGGGCCTGACTTGCACTAAATATTCAGTAACTTGTTAATGAAGCTTCATAAAATTTCATAGAAACTAGTATTGGTTTGGGTTTTTTTTACATTACAGCCTGTTAGCTGTGTGCTTTTTGTGGGTTCCTTCTTTATCAACAGTGGAAATTTTTTAACTCCTATTAACATCTTGCACAGACCCTCATTATATATACTAGATAACGAAGAGCTGCCCAAGCCGGAGCTCCCGCACTGTCTCTCCCCACCCCGTCCTGCCTGGGCACCATGGAAGGGAGGGCACAACTGAGAAAGCACTCCACCCACCAACCCAGAAAACCACCTGCTTTCCAAGAGGTAAACAGTTTCTTTAAAAAGCTTTAATCAAAAAATTAAAAAAGAAAAATAAAAATCTTGACTCAGTTACTCAGTAATACTAGACATTTTCACAGTGGACTACAGATTTCAAAGAGGTGTACACCTCCTTGATTACACTGAGAAACACAAGGAACTTTCTCTGGAATCCAACAAAGAACACGGCCATAAATGGTGGATTTCCCTGACTCAAATGGAGTCAGTGTCTATGATTTCAAACCTTCTCAGAATTACATGGAAAGTTCTGCTTGAGTGATTCAAGCCTGCCCAGTGGATGAATAGCTTAGAGCACAAGTGGAATATTAATATTGTTCTATCCTCCACACACCAAGGAAAATGTGGACAAGAGGACTCCAGGTTAACCCAGAGTCCTTCACAGAAGGGAAGGACTAACACGTATGATTTACTTATAAATTGCCTCTATTCAATCTCCTTGATGGGATGGGAAAGAAGAAAATGCCAAAAATTGCATGGGGAATCCAGGGTGCACTGAAGGGCTCTCCATGAGGCCTTGGCTTAGATAGCTTCCCTTTGTGAGCGGTTCCCACTTGGAGAACAGCAGGCCTGGGCCAGGATGACCCACTAAGGGAGGGACTCCAAGGCAGGTGGCTCCTGAGCCACAGACATACTTGGCTGAGGGTAACTGAAAGCCACCAGCCATCCAATAAAAGTCTAGCAATGCCTTTAAGGCAGGTGCACATTCCACAGTGGATGACAGATAAGAACGCTTTTGACCTTGGAATTATGCCGCCAGCTGTCAAGGTGCACGGAGAGACCTGCAGGGAGGCAGCCATGAAGTGGAGCTCTCTTACCAAGATTGCTCTAGGTCAAGGCCACAGCCACTGAGCTAAAGGAAATGAAGCCTCCATGGCCATCAGCTGGCAGTGCAGGGCCTGTATGACAAACGCCACCACTGCTCTGGAATGGAGTGCCCAACTGTCAGAAGCCTCCAAAGAACATGGCTATCACAACCCCCTCTGGAAATTTTCAAGAACTCTCCTCCTCCTCCCATAAGAACATGTCTCTAGGGGGTGCCTGGATGGCTCAGTGGGTTAAAGCCTCTGCCTTCGGCTCAGGTCATGATCCCAGGGTTCTGGGATCGAACCCCACATCAGGCTCTCTACTCAGCGGGGAGCCTGCTTCCCTTCCTTTCTCTCTACCTGCCTCTCTGCCTACTTGTGATCTCTGTCCGTCAAATAAATAAATAAAATCTTTAAAAAAAAAAAATTGTCTCTACTGCTTCTATTTTAAACATGGACTCCAGGAGCCAGTGTCCACCAACAGTCCATGAGGCATGCAATTACAGGCCATGGGAGCCTCATTCCCAGGGAGCTGAGGCTGGGGATCCCCCTCCTCATGGCCCTCTCCCTTTCCACAGTGAGACTGGCAGCAGACTGACATCTGATAAAACTGGCCTCACACATATAAAAATGCATGCTTTGGCTATGGGACTGGGCGCCTTCATGTTTTGGGCTCTTTCCCTCCCCTACTAAGGCACAGAGTCCCTAAAATGTTCCTAAGTATAACGAAGATCTGCAGTTTGGGGGCCTTCCCAGCATCCATCTCCCATTTAGACAAAAGCACCCTGAGCCTCCTCTGGAGAGAGTGACTGCCCCTACTCTCGGAGGTTGTGGTTTGGGTGGGATGACATCATCACCCCCACTCTCCTATATCCTTGTCCTACAGCCTGAGTGAAAGATACAAGGGTGCCACAATTCAATGTGAGCCAGTGAGAACGTGTCCTGAGTTTCTGCTAAAAATATTGGGAAGGGGATGTCTTTCTAAGATGGACTGGACAGTTGGTAGCATGAAAACAGGAGCTACAAGTAGCAGTTTGCCTTAAATGGGGAGAAGCTGCCTCACAATGAAGCCAGCACAGAGGAAAGCATAGACAAAGATGAGAGACACAAATCAGACCAATGATAACGTGGACCGAACCTCTGGAACCAGGCCAACCTGCAGTCTACCCCTGTATTTTTCAAATACATCAACCAATAATTTCCTTTACTTTGCTCAAGACAGTTTGAGTTGAGTTCATATCACTTGCAGCCATGAGTCTTAATACAATTTGCCTTGTCAAAAAAGTAATCCCATGTCCAAAAATCTCTTTCAATGCTTAAGAAATGGAAAAACACTTTATACACAAAAGGTTCATAGAAGGTTTATGTAATCTAAATTGGCAAAGCACTGAATGCAAGTACATGTCGAGCAGTAGGGTGATGACTGAAGTCCAGTCCATTAAAAAAAATAAGCTCTACGTAAGGTATTTCAAAGTGTTGACCAAAAGTATGTTTAGTCAGTGCTTATGCAAGCTCGTGAATTAGAATAATGATAGCGATAAACACACAGGTAGTATGATTGCTACCATCAGAACTGGGTGCCATGGAAAAGGAGGGGACCGGGTCAGAAGGGATTCTGGCTATCATAGGTGTGAACTTCATAGGGAGGTCAGTGGAGGCTTCACTGAGTAGGCGACATTTGAGCAAAGACTCGGAGGAGGTGAGGGAGTGAGCCATGCAGTCACCTAGAGGAAAAACCTTCCAGATCATGGGAATGGTCAGTGCAAAGACGCTGAGATGGAATGCCTGGTATGTGTGAGGCCATTATGTCTGAAGCAAAAAAGAGCAAGATGAAAGTTATGTGACATAATAGATTTCCCTGCTGCTTGAGCAAAAAAATGAGATAGAAAAGAGCAGATACAAGAGAATACATGAGATATAACTAGCTTTACAGTACAACCATCTTTTTAAAATCCACTGTAAACAGCTTAAAAAAAAAAACTCAAATGGTAATAGTAGTCAATCTGTGGTGGGTAGGGATATTTGAGAGAATGTATTTCTAGTTTTTGTGTATTTTCCACATTTCCTACTACCACCATACATGACCGTTCAAACCAGAAAAAAGAATTCCATTTTATTTGGGGGAAAAAAAATTAACCAACTCCTCACAACATAGCCAGAGATCTCAAACAAAATAGCGGAAATCAGATTTAGGACACCCTTCAGGGTGTAGGCTGCAGTGCTGCTGGTTAACGGGAGGGCACACTATCCTCCGTGTCTTTATTATGGCTCAGTTTCTGAAATCCAAC